TATATATATATATATATATATATACATATATATATATATATATATATATATATATATATATATATATATATATATATATATATATATATATATATATATAGTATATGATATATATAGTATATGATATATATATAGTATATGATATATAATATATATATGTACAAATATATATATATATATATGTGTGTGTGTGTGTGTGTGTGTGTGTGTGTGTGTGTGTGTGTGTGTGTGTGTGTGTGTGTGTCTGTGTGTGTGTGTGTGTGTGTAACTGAAATGGATACCCAGAGAATTTGGACAAAAATATATATAGAAAGGTAGAGAGAGAACAAGAGCTGTGAATCGAGTCGAGGAGGAGGGTCAAGGTCAGAGACTCTAGGGAAGTCTTTGCTTGTCAAAGACGATGTAAGGTCATCGGAGTCGCATTTCTTTACACAAACACACACACGCATACGCACGCACTCACGCACGCACTCACGCACGCACGCACCCACACACACGCACGCACGCACGCACGAACGCAAGCACCCACACACGCAAGCACCCACACACGCACCCACACACACGCACGCACTCACGCACGCACGCACGCACGCACGCACGCACGCACACACACACACACACACACACACACACACACACACCACACACACACACACACACACACACACACACACACACACACACATACACACACACACACACACACACACACACACACACACACACACACACACACACACACACACACACACACAATGAGAGAGGAGAGAGATTGAGAGAATGAGAGGGAGACTGAGTAATTAAGAATGATGAGAGAGAGGAAATGAAATTAAGGAGAGGGGGAGGGGGGAGCTATAATGAGACTGAGAAGGGAAATAGGAGAAAGATCATGAAAAAAGGTATAAGAATAACAAGGAGGAGAGGGAGAGGGGAAGAGGGGGAGAGGGGGAGAGGGTGTAAACTGTGGCTCCCTTCTCGTTCGTTTCTTTTGGTATTGAGTATTCATATGATTTTTTTTTTTTTTTTTTTTTTTTTTTTTTTTTGGTGCCACCGATTTCCATCATGTTTGCCTTGCACTTGTTTATTTTTTTTGTATGTTATTTATTTATTTATCTATTTATTTATTTATTTATTTATTTTTGATCGATCATTGTCTTGAGGTTTTTAACTTTCCAAGAGCTGCCTCGACTTTATTTAAAAGAGTTGTCTTCTTTTCCTCGCTGATGGCATTTGTGCATGCGTAAGTAGGTGTATGTATGTACTTGCGTGCGTGCTTGCGTGTGTCCTTACGTAAGTATATGTCTGTAGGTTCTTGCGTATGTATGTATGCGTGTACTTACATAAGTATATGTCTACGTTTTTGCATGTGTTCGTGTACGTAAGTATGTGTTTATGTCCTTGCGTGTGTACACGTGCGTGCGTAAGTATACTCTTATACGTACTTGCAGGTGTGTGCGTGCGTGCGTGCGTGCGTGCGGGGGCGTGCGGAGGGCGTCCGCGGCGGGGGGGGGCGGCTGCCTCGTGACCCCAGGACGCCGCGGGTCCCGGGCCGAGACCGAGGCTCCGCGCCGAGGGCTTCCTCGAACCGGATCCGCCTCGACGGCCGAGTGGATGCGGCGGCGGGCGACCCGTGGCGCTGGGGGGGCGTGGCGGGGACAGGAATTTATGTCCGAAGGAAGGCAGACGCCCACAGGATGATTATAGGGCGGGGATGGGCGTGTTGGGGAGAGTAAGACGCTCTGCCGAGGGATTGGCGACGTCCGGAGCGGCCGCCCAAGATGCTTGTCTTTGTGGGCGTGCGTGCGTGCGTGCGTGCGTATGTGGGCAGAGCGTGGGCGTGCCCGTCGTTATCGCTGTGAGTAGCAGCTGGTGGGAGAGGAAAGCGGGGGGGGGGGGGGGAGCCGGATCCGGGCGTGGGTAGGGTCGGCACGGGAGACACGTGGAGCCATTACCTCCGCTCCTGCCCAGGTCATCGTGGCCAATTGCCGCACATTCCCGTCAAATTGACCCTTTTTATGCGCGCGGCTTTTTGTTGATGACACGTAATAAGTGGAGGGCCTATATAAGCGGTGTGTTTGCCCGGGTGCCGAGAGTGTGTTGTGTGCGCCGGCCCGCCTTCCGTCGTCAGTCAGCCGCCAGCCTCCGTCAGGTGGGAGCGCACGACGCGCCCTCCTCTGCCTCTCCGGCCGCCGCGCTCGGGGCACGGGCGCCTCGCGCGGCGACGGCGGCGGCGACGGCGGCCGAGAGGGCGGAAACGACTCGCGGCGGAGGAGGGAGGGCTGCGCCGCGTGTCGGGGGGACTTCGGTAGATTGAGCTTGGCCACCGGGAAAGAGAAAACGGGGACCGCGTTTTAAGGCCTTTACCTTTACCACAGCACTTCGGTTAGTGATGAACGGAGGAATGTTTAGCAAGTTGTGAAGGGAACCCGAGTTGTTTATGTGCTCACTCTGTCCGGATCCGCGCGGCGTTCCGAGAGTACCACATTTCGCTCGTCGTTTTCCCGCTGTCTCCTTGACCTCCTTAGCGACGCGACTGAACATTCTCCGAGTAGCAGGGATGGCGGGTGGGCAGCAGGTACTTTTCTCGACTTTAAACACGGCTTTGTTTATGTTGCTGGCGCTGATGCATCTCACGACGTAGGTTTTAAAGTTGGCGTAAGCCGCCTTGAGGAAGGGAGGTGGCCTTTATTTATGCCCAGAGATCTGCATACATAATGACCAAATCATAACGTTCTATTGCCTGCACAAGTACCACCTTGCCCACTTCATCATCACTGTAACCACTGCCATCACGACGGTCGTTGCAATCACCATCATAATGATTAGCACCTTCAGTTTGCCTAGTGGAGTAGGTGCTCGGGCTCGGGGCCGGGGCTATGGGCCTCCCCCACCCCAGCCGGGGGCACCTGCATCTCGGCCATGCCCATACATAGCTCGACACCGTGTTATTATGCTGCCGGTAAAGTGCCAAGTAAATTTCAGCGCGTTAGTGATTGGCATCCGTAACCACTAGGCGAAGCGCCATCGCCCTCGGCCCCGGCGCTGCAACAGCAAGATTGATAGCGGCCGCGGCCACGGAGCAGTCGGCCGCGCAGAGGGGCCGGCGTGCGCAGGAGGAGCGCAGTCGGCAACAGCAGTGTCGGTGTCAGTGCGCGAGGCATCGGCGCGGACATCAACGCCCGCAAGGACCAGCAAGAGCGGAGGGAGTGAGGGGCGTCGACGGCATTATTTAGTATGGGCGGGGTGGCCGACGCACCACCCTCGGCGGCGTGGCTCTCGGGGGGACTTCGCTCCTCGCAACACGCACGGCGACGCCCACACGTGACGCGGAGGGCGAATCGCGGGTCGGGTCCGGCCGAGAGTCCGAATGGGGCCCAAGAGGTCGGGTCGAGGCGCGGCGGCAGGGAGCAGGTCGAGTCGCAGGTCTTCGTCGGGAGGTGCGAGCGGGGCGCCGTCGGGCCAGTGTCGCTTCCGGCGGGACACAGCCTCTCCCGCGTGACCTCCTGAGACGCGGAGGGGCAGGCGGGAGGCTTCCGCGGGCGGCGCAGGCGGCCCACTCACTGCTTGGCGCGTCGTTATTGTCAGCTGTGATGGACGTCTGGAGCGCCGGTCTCCGGTAGCAGTTCATTATTCGGCCTGTTATTTACGACGGGGCCCTGTGCAGCAGGCTGGGGCGCCGGCCTCCTGACGACCCACCCCGTCCCTCTCTCCATCTGCCATCCTCTTTCCTCTCCTCTCCTTTAGTTTGTACTTTACTCATGTCGCAAGTATTTTTAAGTCCCCCCCCCCCCGCACGCATACATATATATATGGTCTTTCATTTCGTTGTTTTCCTCGTGCTGCTCCCCGCCCCCCGATCCGGTCCGCCGAGCCGAGTCTCTAGAATCGGAGACACGAAGGAAGCGTACATTCCATGAGCATCTCCGTGGCAGTCAGGAACGCTGCGGGCGGGCTCTCGTGGGAGCGGCCAGTGCCAGGGCACGTTTTTCTCAGGGGGAGACCAGAGGCACTGCACGCACCAGATGTGGGGGAGGCGCCTGCGTTCCGCGTGCGCGTTCCAGCGACCTCGAGGCAGCGACGCAGCGGCGAGGCGTCCAGGTAGCAGGAGCTGGGGCGACCTTATTTACGATGATGGGTGTGACGGCTGGCGCGATAGAGAGTATATTTACGAGGAAGTCCCGGGTAAAGTACGAGGCGGTGTTGACAGGGGACCCACCGCCGCATGATGTATTGCCGCGGCTCCCCTGGGATGGAGCCCTCGGACGCTGCCGGGGGGGGGGGGGAGCGTGGCCGGGCGGGGGCGCCCCAAACAAATGGCTCTCAGGTGACGCGGCGGGAGGAGCGAAGGGGGGGGGGGAGGGGTAGGAGGTGCGAAAAGGGGAATCGAGAGCTGCAACGATGATGTCACGCTATGACATCATGCTGGGGTTTTGGCAAATGGCGTCACGTTCAGCAGGGCGAGATGTTTACCACGTGGCGATGCCAGGCGGCGGCGAGGCCAGTGTCTCTCCCTATTCTGGCGACGGGGAGGGGCGGGGGGTGGGGGTAGAAGGCGAGCGAGACGCGTTTCGGAATCGGTGTGCGAAAGGGGGGGGGTCGATTAGGGAAGGAGGAAAGTCGGAGAGATCGGAAGGTGGCCGTCGAGCGAGAGCCACGGCGCGGGCGGCGCGGAAGGAGGCGCAGGAGGAGTCGGGCGGCGGGGAAGAGCAGCGAGGATGGGCAGGAGAGGATTGGCTTCACGGGGAGCGATCTCCGAGGGAGGAAGGGCGCGAGGAAAGGAAGACGAGGAATTTCGGAGCAAGGGCTGACAGTCAGTCAGCCGCGCGGGCAATCAGTCAGGCAGAGTGGAATTAACTTCCACTTCGCAGGCAAGCAGGCAGATAGGTAGGTTGATAGTCATGCAGTTGAGACTTGCAGGCCGGTGGAGGAAGGGGGAGGGAGGGTGAGAGGCAGGCAGGCAGACAGGCAGGCAGCGAGGTAAGGACCCGTGGCCGCGTGTA